CTTTCCCTCTCTTCCTTTAGCCTGGATCTCCTTGGACATGTTTCCTCCCCCAGAGCTTTCTGCATGTGCATGAAGGGTCCAGTCCTAAAAAAAAAAAAAATCCAGTCTCTGCATGACAGTGAAGTCAATGGGTCTACTCACATGAATCAAAGTTTGCTGGAGCAGGCCCTTAGGCATTAATTTTTTTTTTTAAATAAAGTCCAATTTTATTAATTGTACTCTGTTTGGGCTTTGGAAAGAACAGTTACAAAATGGATCATAGGTCTTACTTTTTAAAATGGCATTTGTTCCTCTGCTAATTCTTGGCAAACAGGGGCTCAATATGAAAGGGTTTCAAGCACTGTATACCTCTGGGTGTGTGTACACTCTTGCATAGTGAGACTCTGGAAGAATACGCATGAAAACATGCACACACAACATATTCCATTTGCACATACTTACCTAAACAAGGTACTGAATATACAGGTACCTGCTCATGTGCATATATATTTGCAAGGAGAGAGAGGCATATGCTTACACAATGTCTATAGATGTGTAAACTCTTAATTGCACATATACAAACATTAAAAATCAAATGAGTCTTGGATGCACCTTTGCTTTTCCCATTGAAAAGGACATTTTAAACCCCTTTGTTGTTCACTTTGGTTTTACTGTAACTAATACAATTCACCTGCTCACCTAATGGGATATTTTCCTCTCAGTATGTTAAAACACTAATTAAAATGCATTACAATTATTAAATTGGGTAGAAGAGCACTTCTTGTAAAGCTTAGTCTGGAACTCCTGGGACATAGTTGTGCAGTGAAAGTTTTAGATCATGTCTCTTGTGTTACGGATCGCACAGCACAGAACCATGCTGAATATCATGCCAAAGATCTAGAAGAGAAGGGATGCAATTTAGGGATCCACTTACAAAACAGTTATAAAATAGCCTGCATATCAGAACAGTCTGAAGGTTCTTACGGCAGAGCAGCAAGTGACTGCTTCCATCTACAAACCCCAAGACATCAGACAATTAACATAAAAGAGATTTCACTGATACTCAAAGCCAAGATTTTATCTGCTCATGCTGGCTTCACTGTTCTTTGTTCTAAATGTTAAGGCCAGCGTAACAGCCCCAAACGTTAATATTATTAATATAAATGTCACTGACATCAATAACTGTGACTATTGGTATTATGCCTAGTATTGCACCAAATGGTTCTGAGTTTCAGAATGCTTCTACGTGGAATATTGTATACAAATTTGAATAAGAGCAGAGAATGATTCCAGAAGAACCAGGTCTCTTGAACTGGTGCTGAGCATTATGGTTTTAGAGAGAAAGCTAAGCTCTTAACAGTTACTACTCAAGACCAAGACGATACATTAAATATAAAACTCTATTCATGTTAGGGAACTAGTTAACTAGGGGGAATGGTAAAAGCAGAGAACAGTGGGTGTTGCCAGAGTCTCCAGAAATTTCTTTTTTGCCACAGCTCGATTCTCCAAATCAGTTAGCAGCTACCTCCAGATACTTCATTGCTAATGATGGGAGACGAGCAGTACTATCAGGCAGTTAAACCACTGAGTTCATATCCCCTCCCTGAGGAAGAAGGAGACAGCTGGCCAGTCATACCCTATGAAGGGTCAGAAACCAGCACAGACAAATGTACAGACATGTTTCTGCTGCTAAGGAGGTTATCATTTCATAACTTCTGCTGTGTCTGAGGTGGGAAGCCACAGAAGAGATGTTCGTATTTCTAGTGTGTCCTTGTTGAGCAATGAGCTTATTGGAGCTCTGTCTCACCCGTGTTGCTTTGCTGTATTTTTGAGTACACCTTCACGTTTTATACAAATCACAGGATTGTTTAATCGCCTTTACCCATGCCATGGTTTCTATGACATACATAAACCCTTCATCTGCTTTTAAGTGTCCACATTAGCTCTTCAGAGAAGCTAAAACTGTATTTCTTTACTAATATTCTGGCTCCTCATGCTGCTTCAGACTGCTGCTGGTTTCTGAGTCTGAGGGAAGTCATGGCACACGCGTGCTGGAAAATGCTTTCTGTTAAAGCCTGTGTTGGACACAGACTGCCCGCTCCTGCCATATCCTTGCAGGAGGGTGACATCTATTGGTCACAGCTCTGTCAGGAAGGAGCAGACCTTGGGAATACAACACACACTTGTGGGAGAAGGTGGACTGTAAGGAGTTATTGACACTTTGATGACACAATTCGATGAAACAGCTACCTGTAACTAGGTGAAAGAAATGCTGTTCTGAAAACTATGCAGTTTAAATCCTGTTCCTTTAACAAAATACATACAGATCACCGGATCTATAACCTAGAAAATCTGTTTATAAACTATCCTTCACGCTGAACAAATGCTACAGCCAGCATTTTCCTGGAAAGCCATTTCTATACAAAGGGTAGGTACTCTCTATTCCTTATGAAATCTAAGGAACGAATCCTCAAAGGGCCTAAAGTGTCAGTCTGCAGTTGTTTTAGAATAGATGAAATGCTGCTATGGCCTTTTGCTTTTCAGTTTGGTTCATGTGCACTCCGCTTTCCTACTATTACATCAAAGTAAGATTCCCATTAGATACTTTGGACCCTGTCTAAGGACACAAAATGAGCTGGTAAATCAAAGTCATGCAAGTCTGCTTGCGCCAATGTGGGCAATTCCCAGAGAGAGGGCATGCTGAAAGTGATAAGAATAGCTGCACCTTTGAGGAATCTCACCAGTTGCTGCAAAACACCTTCCACAAAGCTTTGAGTAAGGGACAGGGTACTGGGCTCAAATGTAGATTTGAGAGTGAGAACATGGATTTACTCACTGTGATGCCAGCAATTGCAATTCCAACAATTCCAACTAAATGCAGATGAGCATCAATTACATTCTGGATTTCAACCAGGCAGTTCTGTTAAAAACAAAATTGAAAGATTTTTACTCCTAGAAAAATATACTCCAACAACTCCAGTCAGCTGTTCTCACTAAACAACAGATAAACATGAAAAATATTATTGCAGTCACTGTCCTAATTCTTGCATCTATGCTTTGTGTTTTGTTGGACAATTTTCACAGCATATTCCCTTTTCTAGTGAGACATCTGTACCTCTTGCCTGTACAGGCTGACATAGATAAGTAATTTTCTTAGAATCAGTTTTCCCTAAATTTAAAACCCTTTATATGTTAGGCCATGCTAAATCAGGAAGTTTGCCCCTTCAGATCGACATTGTACTCACAAGCAGATTCCACAAAAGACAGAAATAACAGTATCCTTCTTAACACCAACAAAGTTTCTAGTCAGGAGTCTCCACGCATGATTAAGGCAGGCACTTGCCAAAACTCAGCCTTCAGGGGGCTTTTCATTTAGGACTCCTGTTCTGCTACGTCCTTCCCACTTTTCTTTGCAGATGATGTAATACTGTCTCAGCTACCATCGGATGCTACAAGCAGGCTTCAGAAATGAGGGCTGGGCATGTTCAATATGACCTCCAACTTATTTCTGCCTCCACTCTGCTCCATTTCACATGGAATGTCATGCTGGAATTTGCAAGGTAAAAAGGAATTCTTCCTTTCTTTCACTTACAGAATGTCTCCGATTTTACTAAACAGTTGACATGAGAAAGTGACTAGAACAACCAAAACAGAGGACACTTGCCTTTGGCATCTGGATATTCTCTGGACAGGGTAATCCCATTTGTTGTTCCATATTACCTTTGCCACAGCATTGGAGCTAAATGAGAGAGAGAGAGAGAGAGAGTGATGAAGAATCAAAGGAGGAAAAACCATAGACTTGTTTCATACTGAAAGCAAGTTACTGCTTTCATACTGAAAGTGAGACAATAAATAGCTAAAAAAAAAGAAAAAATACAAATCGAGTCAAAAGTTTATTCCCTATATTAACTGCCACCCCTGGTAGAATTTCAGCTGCGTGGGCCAAAACTTTCAAAAATCAGTTTCAATTGTCTGAAGCCATAGCAAACAGACAAATTTGTATTAACAACAACTTCCAGAAGGGATTTTTATCACAATATCTCATAACAAAGCAACCAAGTGGATTTTGGAAAAGCAGATCCCTGGCTTACAAGGGAACAGGAGTTGGTAAAGGGAGAAAGCAGAAAGTTCACATAGTGCACATGGAATTATGGGCAATGCACAAAAGCTACTACAGAGAATGCTAGAATCTTTATTTCTGACAAAACACAGTGCTGGGTTTGGAGACAGTAATAAATCAGAGTGCTTCAGAGGGCTTGTTTTTCCTGTTTGCCTGTCTCCCACAAAATGCTTGGAATTCCTCTTTGGGTCAGAAATAACAGCTATGGGAGAAGGACAAAAGGGTCTGAGGTTGTGAAATGTTTGTTCTAAAGAACGTGGGAATGCTGTAAGGAGCAACAAAGCTTGGGCTTGATCTCTGTGGGAGGCAGTGTAGATACAGGATGGACACAAACAGGATTCAGGAAGTCATAGGTTCTAATTCTGATTCAGCCACTAACTTTTTGGGTGGCCTGAACTGAGTCACACATGCGCTTTTGGTTCTTTACCTACTTGGTTCAGTCAGTGACAGGATCTGCCACATTGTAGGTCCTGAGACACAGGTCACAGTTTTTTCTTTGATAAATGCAGAGAGATTCAGACCTTTTACCACTCTCTGCATCTGTGAGTATTTATTCTTGGATTTTAATATCCAAAAGGGCCGTAACAGTCATACCTTCTGCACAACAAAGACCAGAAGCATCAGCTGAAATTTCAAAGCCTGGCCATTTTCACTTTCAAAGGCAGGGATCACTTGGGATCTGAAAACCAGAATTCTGAGAGAGCCATCAGGAAACCGGGTTGTGAGCCTCTGGCTCCATTTTAGGTAACACTCAGTTCTATTCTTTCATACCTCAGTGGGAGGCATTCTGAATTTTAAAGGGTAATGTGACAGCAGAGTAGTAGTGCAAGGTATTAAAGCTCAGGAGGACTACTCACAGCCAAGTGGTGTTGATAGATAGTCCTGTTGACCTTCCCCCCTGGGTTTTTCATATAGTCATCATAAGTGTCTTCATAGATTTTCTGGGCTTCCTGTATTGCCTGCAGAAATGAGACTTTCCAAGTGAGTGGCAAGTAAGTCTTACCCCCAATCCAGTGCAGACTTCCAGCTTGCGTCATCAACCTCCAGAGCAGAAAATTATGCCTGGTAAACTGAGGTACCATGATTGGAAAGACAGGAGCTTTTGTGGCCTGATGGCATCCAGAGGGACTCTGCGTGGGTCAGAATGTACATATGCTGTATTCTGTGGTTTGGTTAAACACTGTTAGTTGGAGAAGTTCAGTGCTTGAATTTGCCCTTTTCCCAAGCAATACCCTCTTACCATATAGTTCTACTTGATGTTCCTTTTGGATTTAAGGTTGAACCACACGTACAGGTTTTCTTTAATAGAGGGGGGCAAAAACTGCATCCCATTCTGGATTTGTGATAACACAAGCTCTGACTGACTCCAGATAAGAATGTCAGAGTCTCGTCCTGGGAAAAGTATCCTGGAAAGTTTTCCTATGCAAGAGCCAGACTGCAGGTCAGTCGGCATTGGAATTCATAACTGCCCCATTATTACATTAGAAGTTTCTTGCTACTTACCACTTTCTTGCCTATAAAGGCAAATACTCCAGCAGTGACCTCAGCTGCAAATATCACCAACAAGCAAGCAAAGAACTGCAGAGGAAGAAGAGAATCCTATATTAACATACCTTGCACAATTCTGCTTTATATGGACTGCCACTCAGTCCCTCATCCTTGCCCAGGCCTCAACAGCCCACACAGTAACTGAAAGAAAGCTGGTAAGCAGGGTCTCTAACAAGGGTGTCAAGTCAGATTTCTTGTAATATGGAAACAAAGGTGGAAATGGCAAAGATGTGGCTCAGATGGTAGCTTCAGAAAAGACAGAAGGTAATTCCAGGAAATATATCACATGAGACAAGCAATGGAACTTCTTCACGTATGGAAGCTGTGCAATAGCACGGTGGCCAGAGATGCTAGGTTAGCCAGTAAAAGGACGTAAGGCATTTCAGGTCTTGGACAGCAAAGATCTTTCCACTAATCACACAAAGCATATGCTTTTGAATGATTTTCCTTCACAGCCCAGGCCCTTGAAACCTTTTACTTACTGCTCCAAGTAAGCACTGAGACTCCCGCGCTGCTCCACAGCACCCAAAAAATCCAACTGTTGTCATGAGAGCCCCTGCTCCCACCAATACATAGAGTCCTATGAAAAATCAGAATCAGACAAGAATTTAAGGTTTCTCTTCCCAAAGTCTGCTACCTATTTTGTCAAAACCACACATTTATAAGTAGCAATTGTCTCTGGCTCTCAGAAAGATCACCCATTACACAGAAAAGTTGCTCTCTCCCCAAAAGGAGACCAATGATTTCTTCAGAATTCTTGGAGAATCTCATGAAGACAAATGCAAAGACTTCCACCTCCCACGTTTCCTGTCCCAAGGGCAGCTCAGGCCGGGACGAACGCACACCATGCCATCCAGAACCACCTTGCAACTCTTCAGTGTGGAATGTAAGGCAAAAAAAAAAAATCCAACATTGCTAGAGGGCTTATTTCTGTCAAACCTGGGGCTGGAAACGTGCTGTACTGCTATGCAGCGGTCGAACTTAAAAAGCTACCTGACAGCTATGCTCTATCAGTTGCCTGGCAGTACATAAAAAAGGAAAGGTACAGGCACTACAGTGTGATGTTCCTCTGAAATCAGTGCTTTGGCTGGGGAAAAAGCTGATTGCTATCGGAAAGAAGAGGATGATTGGGGAAACCCCTTGAAAGCTGTTAGATGAAGTGAACGAAACAATGAATTTGCACCCTCTGGCGAAATAATGAGTGGGGAGGACAGCCTGGGGGAGGTCATAAGCTCAGCAATAGTCCTGAGCTTGGTCGCTGCAGAAAATGGAAGCTTGTCTACAGTTCAGTGATTTGGAGCATAGCATCTTCCTTTTCTGATAAGTAGCTGCATTACTTCCTGCTGGGCAGGCATATTCCAGCATCATTACTTTACATTTTTCTTCCTCCAACATACTGATGTAAGTGTCAGAATATGGGATATCAGCAGCTTTTAAAGGCTAATGTTATCAGCGCATTATGATCAGAAGACTTGGAGAAGAGTTGCCTGAAAATGGATAGAACAGAGAACCAGACAAATCACATCAGATATTAAAAAAAGGTGATTCTGTATGAAAAGAGTGGAGTGTCTAAGACTTAGAGGCCGAGAACCTTGCATGCATGGCCTACAAACAGCATCTCATGATGCATGCTGCCCTCATCTGAACTGCAGGATACCCTCCCACCACCTTATTTCAATAGGCAGAATCAGAGCGGCTCTGCAGCAGCCAGCGGCAACACTGCGTTGCCTTCATGTTCCGGACATTCGCAGTTAAGTGTTATGCAGTTACTGAGTCATTTAGGGGACTGCTCAGACACCTTAGCCAAGCTCTGCATTGCTGAATGGACTTTAGGCTACTGGCAGAAGGGGTTATCTGTGTAGAGACAAATTTAATGACATAAAGAAAGAACAGCATATAGTGGATCATCAGACTAAACACGTTAAGAGGATAATGAAGCAATCTGGGAATGAGACTGCCAGCAAAGACCAGGCCTGAGACAAGTACAGAACATGGGAGATGTCAGTATAGCCCCATACATAGTTAAAGATCTAGGACCTGAGCTATGTTCAGAACTTGACGGGACAAAAACTGTAGAGGTAAGGGGAACAGCATTCATCTCTGCCACCTGTAAAACTGCTAGAAATACTCACATTGAACAGGGTTTTTTTTTGTATGGGCTTTATCTAGGACAAAGGAAAACCAGAGCACAGAATTTTTCTGTCCTCACTTGTAAACTTACATGCTTGATTTGTGCTTAGGCAATGCATCCATTCATGTCCAGTGTCAGTTCCCATCAGACCACAACAACTGTGTCTGTGCCTTGTCTCTGGGCACCACGTCAGCCAACGTACAACAGGCTCAGTGCAGTGCCTTGTAATTCTGGTCTTTGTCTTGTGTGGGCAACGTGGAGGACACGCAGAAATCTGCCATGCCAGTCCACTGCTGGAAAAAACAGCTTCATTGCCCTCATGGCGTTATGAGGGGACAGTGGAGCTACAGACTGCACACTAGAGGGCACAGCGAGCCTTGCTCCCAGCTTTGACTATGCAGACTTCTGCTGAGAGTGGTTAGTATTCTCCATTACCAATTTAAACATTATTTTAAAATCTGACCCAAATCTTTAGGGTTAACAGAGCTGCTGGCATTTACTGTTAGCAGGCCTTGTGTACAAATGACAGTTTGCACAGATTGCTAGGAAAATGAAAAAACAATCAATCAATAAATGAGTGCAGAGCATCCAGCTACTCTGCCACACAGATGCAGCCTGCCTGGAGAAGGCAAACTCCCGCCTGCTGCCTGTTCATTGCACATCACTGTCCAGTCACTGTGTATTGGCCAGATATCTGTCCCACCTATTGTGAGCCTTCTCCTCCCCTCCATCCTTCTTGCCCACCGGTACCCTTCTTGTGCCAAGGACTGCTGCTGAGGAACACATTTTGCTAAATAGCAATAAACCAATTGTAATTAATATGGCTTTCCCAGGTCTGTGATGCCAGATATGTGGGATTTCATGCTGACTGTGCTGGCAGTTCATATTCTGTATTTTCTAGATTTTTAATATTCAGCATCTTGTGACTTACTAGGACTGAGCATTCTTCAAGCTAATACTTGTACACATATTTGCAACACAGTGGTTTTTACTGAGGGAGGGATATACAAAGATATATATGGCTCAGGAGAGAAAGGTCAGCCCCTCATGGAAGATGAAGTGGAAAAGACAAAAATCTTCTCTCAGGTGCAGAACATGCGGTTCAACTGCCAAACACCAAAACTGCCATTTTCTGAGATCTCCATGGTAACCAACGGAGTGTAATTACAAAGATGTTTCCTGGACCCTTTTCTGCGTGTCGCTCCCTACTCCGGTCCCTGTAATTACTTATGAGGCGACTTAGCAGAGAGACTTTTTGACTAAGGAAACTGGAAAGAAGTCTTCCCATTTCTTTTGGTTGCTTCCAGCTCGCAAAGATAAAGCTCTCTGAGGCTCAGGGGTGAGACCACTTTCAGGAATTTGGATTTGCTTTTGTCTGAGAAACAGACTTAACATTTCACTCGCATGACTCACAGCTAAACCGCTACCTCAATCCGAACTTCCCTTTTAAGGCGTGTTACAGGAAGAACTCACACCACTCACTAAACAAAGCTGAGCTTGCTGTGTGTCTGGCCCCGCAGTTGAGCCAGCCAAGAGTTTAAAACCACCTTCTTCCATTTTCTGTTCAGGAGAGCTCATTCCAGACTTTGTCCTTTCTCAGCCTGGGACTAGTAGTTGCTGATACTCAGAGAGCTATTTCGCGATGGAAAATAATGACAGCTCTTAAAAAAAAATTCCACAAAACTAAAGATGTTTTTACTTGTCCGCTACATATACACACACGTAATCTTTCAGACAGGATTGAGATACTTGAAGAGTAGCTTGAAAAAAATTCAAAGGGACCAGGTTGCTTCTCAGCTTGCACTGTGCACCCAGATCCAGGTATGCTCAACTGGAAGATGATTTCCAGGAAGGGTATCAAAGCAATAGATGCAGAAGCATCCTAGATGGTGTAAGTACATAAGACAGGGAGCTAGTATTTCTTTTCCTAGTGGGCTATACGCAGCGATGTAGGCATGATCACCTCAAATTCTTTAGGAATAGACCTAAACTGAAAAGCAAGACTCTCTAGAAAGGAAAGAAAAAGGAAAGGGTGGCAGTGTATGGCACCCCTTAGAATCACAGCCTTACCTAGAGACATCATGCACTGACGGCCATCAAGTTAGCCCAGTTAGGATCAGCAAAGCAGACAAATCCAGAAGTTTAGTGGTGTTCATGTCATACACTGCTATGCAATAGTATCATGTGTCAGAAGTAACGAAGCTTCGCTAAAGCCCCTTCCTCTCAAAAAAGCAGGATGGAAAGCAAAGCCTTAATCAGCTTCTATTCATAAGCACTTCCATTGTAAAATACAAAGCCTTGGCATGGCCTCCAATTTGGCATCTACAGCACAGCAGAGAAACAAAAAAGACACTTCGTTTATAGTCACAAAATGGAACACATTTGATAGCTAGAAACTCTTGACACAAAAAAGTTCACCACAAAGCTCAGCATGGCAAAAAGAAGCGTGAAAGTCAGGTCAAGGTAGAGAGCTTGTTTGGGTGAATGGAAAATTTTGAGCAGTGTGTCTAGCTGCAGCTTTTTGTGCAGCAGAAGTAAAAAAGTACAAGGTAGAAAGGAAAAAAATGTTTGTGGCCTGTGTGAAATTTTTCCTCTAACCTCTTCTTGCTTCTGTTCATTCCCTGATTCCTAATTTTGTCACTTTGATCTGTGTCTGCTAATGAAGAGGAGAGAGAGTCCGACAACTGACTAGTCTCTGAGTTTGCTGGCAGCACAGCCCACGCAGGAGCAGAGAACAGATGAAGAGAGAATACTGAGAACAGGCACACTGCTATGGCCTTAAGGAGGGCAAACACTGGACCTAACGGCAGAAACCTGCCGTCTGTGTGACTGCCCACAACTCGGGAATATTTATCGCACCTGCATGTGTCATTGGACTGGGGTTTTTTTGGACAGAGCCTATTCTCTTGACCTTTTCTGTGGGGAAATATTCAGGTTTTGGGGTGGTGGAGTTTTTTTGTTTTGTTTTCGCTGTGCTGAAACACCCCCCCACACAAACACACAGATTTTTATAAGCTGTGAAGAGAAACTAATGCTTCCACTTTTGGCAGTAAGTCAAGTGAGAGAACACCTAATAACAAATGTATTTCCCTTCTGGCTAAAAAATAGAGAGTGTAAGAGGGGGGGAAGCCCATACTTGAGCAATTGTTTCATTGTGCAAAGAACAAATTTGGAAAGCAGTAAAGCAGGAAAGCAGCAGCTTTTCCATATACTTCATTTTTTGATTCATCCCATGGGGAAAATCATTATTTATTGAACGGAAAATGACAAATGGGGGTATTCCCTGTGAAAATTCCAACAGGAGGGATTCCCGTTTTCTAGCAGACTCTGCTTTGCAATTACAAGGGGAATTAAAAAGTTACCTGGCATTCTCAGAGCAACCTATAGCTCCCAATAGTGAAGAACAGCAAATCTCTAGATTGGCATCTGTGTAGTTCTTCCATAAGATA